AAAACACTTCTATTTATACACAAAAATATACCCGTTAGAGGTAGGACGCTCCTTGTTGACATCATGGATCACGTGGGCATGCTCTTCCTTTTTACTTAGTAGTTCGGGCGTGTGGAGCATAAGTGTGAGGCCCTAACTTTTTGTAATGTCCCCAAACGCTTATAGTTGAAGAATTTCAATAAGAAATCTTGTTTCCCCATTTCTTGCAAATTAAACCCTAGAAATCAGGAGCGATTGTGCGTCTAATCAACAAACCCTAATCAACTCTGAGAACTTAAGAAACATTTTAAAACCCTGAATTAATAATTTAGAAACCCTAGAATAAAAAATTATAAGAGAAAAACCCTAATTTTCGATAATCGCAGCTTTAGCCCGGTATCTCGCCTTTTGTTGCGAATCGGCACCACGTGGCTTGAATTATTTTTCCTATCATTATTTTATTAATTATGTAACTTAAACATATGTTTTATTTCAAAAGTTTCGATTGCACCCTTTTCTTTCTTAATTATTGCATTTTGGCCCCAAAACCTTAATATTTTATTCAATAAAGGTACAACCAATATTTTATTAATTTATGCAAAATGTCCTCTATATTTTATTAACAAAAAAAATCAAATTTTCACATGGGTAAATAGGGTAGCTGGCTATAGGTGGTGAAAAGGACCTAGAAGTGTATTTTTTATACATAGCAAATCTTGTACAAATATGCAACAAATCTTTGACCAACATGGAGGAATGGGGGGCATTTATTGCTATATTTTTTTGGTCTCCCAATTAACTAGTAAATAGGATTACCTTCTCTTAATCAAGATTAATTAACATAAATCTTAATTGGATCCAATTACAAACCAACCAAACTTGAATTGTTTCAATTGAAAACCAACCAAACCAAACCAACCCTTCTCTCTCCTCATTGGCCTATAAATACATGCCTTGCAAGCTATTTTATTTTACTCCATACACACAACACACAGTTGAGAGAAGAGAAAAGAGAGAGCAAGTGAGCTTGAGAGAAAAAGAAAAGAAAAGAGAGCAACAAGTAGGAAAAAGATCAAGCAAACCAAGGTAAATCTTATACACCTCTTCTCTCAATAAATCATCATGTTTTTCCCTTCATAATACATGCTAAAAAAATATATTTCACATGATACTAAGAGTTACTATATTGTTAGATGATGTATGGTTTGAAAATGAAATGTTTCTCTTCTTCCTTGAAATTTCCAACAAGCTTTTCTTCAAGGTTTTTGATTTTACTTCCATAGCAAACCTTCACCAACTCAAAATATGTCTTAAAGGGGTATTAATTGACATGCATAGAGTATGTGAAAATTTTGGCTAAGACCATGGATGTGTTTTTATGACTCTTTTTATTTTTCTAAATACTTGGTGCAAGAACCTGTTTAAAATAGGGAACTTTAAGAAATTCTAGAAACTTATAGAAAAATGATCTCACGTTCATTTTTATATCAAAATCTTCCTATAAAGATTAGCTTTTAAACAAAATTTATTTCAATGAAAATGAATGAGTATTTTAAGAGAAATGCCGAATTTTGTAACAATTGTCAAATCTGGGCAGAGTCTGTATATTTCTTAAATATCTAAAAATAAAAAAGGGCCACCCTACTTCCGTAAAATGATTCTAAAACTAGATTTAATTCTCTACAAATTCTCAGTAAGCCACATTTCTGAAACCCTTGGAAAATATTTTTTCTATATTTATTTTTGAACCATGCAGTGCTGAAAATATAACAGTGTGGTTCTTGTTGTAGTTAGTGTTTTTGTGCTATCATGACATATTTGTTGTAATATATGTTATACTTGCATGCTTGAGTTTCACCTTGAATGGCCTTATTTTTCTCTTACTTGTGCTAACCACTAATGTGTAAAGAACTTAATGTAAAAAAGGGAAAAACTAAATGGGTTGGTAAAGAGGGTTAACGACCACACTAGTCATACATTATAAATGATGAAAATGTTAAGTTGATATTAGTAGTGGATTAAAATGAGCAAGTCTTGCGCAACTGGTTGTTTGGAACTCTTGAATGGAGTGGTTGTATTCGGACCCTAGGCAGTGGGTTTGGGCTAGGCCCATCATTACCGTCTCTTTTGAGACCCTCGGTTGGCGCTACGCGGTATATAACCGTTGGTAGGCATCTGAGGTAAGGTCTGCAACAAAGCAGCAAAAGAGTGGGCATATCGAATAATCCGCGTCCAATTCTTGGAGTTGGGAGGATGAAATCTCTTTGGGAGATTTCTAGACTATTAACAACTAACCATATAATATGTGTTATGAACTTAAATGCCATGATCATTTTCTCTGTCTTTTTGTAAATGTTGTTGTGTATTGGACTGGAAAAAAGGATAGGGTGTGTATGCGTTTACTGGGCATTCAAATCTCACGGCGTATCATGCCAGGTGCCGAAGAGGAGCTTACAGCAGGAGACGACGAGCCGGAAACCTTTGAAGATATTTGGCTATTGTAGAAAAGCTAGAAATTTCCCTTTTGATGTTTTGTAAGGCTCATATGAAAATTTAAATTTTCTTTTGGGATATAATGTAGTGGAATGAGTTTTTGTAATTAAGGATATTCGTAATTATTAACACCAATATAATCCCTGACGTCGTTTACGAGACCTTGTGTCAATGTCTCTTAAGATCTGTCAAAAAGGTAGTGCGCTATCTAAGAAAGCTAAACTTAGAAGGGAGGCTAATGTAACTCCTCTGGCGATCTGGGATCTTACTTGGTTATTGACCATAGAACTCATTAGTGACTTTTCCTAGACTACAACCAATAGTGTAAATTTGGGGCGTCACAATAAGACCGTTTTTCTTTATATTCAAAATTTGCATGAGGCATACTATAAACAATTCCTTTTTCTTTTCTATGTCAGGTGCCAAGCATGTCGCTTACAAAACATTAAGAATATAAGTGATCACTATTGTATATATAACTAGTCAACAAATGAATAGTGTTTAATTTTCTCTTCAAAACAACAAATAATCAAAAGTTGTATAGTAATTGCATAATATTTTTTCTAACAAAATATTTAATTACACAAAAAAAAATTTAATTGCACAATAAAATCTCTTTACGTATATTTAAAATAAAATTTATAATATATATGAAAATATATACATTTTTTTATAATCTTTGTAATTGTTGACGAGATTTTAAATACACTTTTTAAAAAAAAACTAACCATCCCATGTGAGTATATCAATTTTGTTAAAAGAAAATAACTCAACAAATTTGTGAAAAGATGAATAGTGATCTTTTTCTAACAAAATATTTAATTACACAAAAAAAAATTTAATTGCACAATAAAATCTCTTTACGTATATTTAAAATAAAATTTATAATATATATGAAAATATATACATTTTTTTATAATCTTTGTAATTGTTGACGAGATTTTAAATACACTTTTTAAAAAATAACTAACCATCCCATGTGAGTATATCAATTTTGTTAAAAGAAAATAACTCATCAAATTTGTGAAAAGATTAATAGTGATCAGTCTAGTTTTTTAAAACGTGAATAGTAAAATTTTCAAAATATTTTTATCATACAATATATATTTTAAACAAATAATAGTTTGTGTCAAATAATATAAGATATGTATAAAAGAATCATAATTTATCAATTAATATTTTAGACATTATCAAAATTAAATAACATGATTAACACTTTGGACTCGTCAACTTCACATTTTTTTTTTTAAATCATCTCCTTTTAATTTCTTATGAATTTTGTATTAACCACTTCTCTCACATGCAAGATATATCCTTGGTATCCTATAACCACCACCATAGTCCGATGTCTTGATGACAATCACAAAATCATTTTTCCTTCCAGTAACCCTTCCCCAATTGAGCAATTCTTCTTTACTCTTGAAAACCTACATATCAAATTCACCAGTCATTAAACATGCGAAAAAGAAAAAAGAAAAAATACTAATTTTTGACATGAGACTACCTCTTTAGTAATAAATTGACTTGTGTAGTCAACAAGATACTCAAATCCAACATTACTGCATTCCATGGATGCACAGTTCTTGAAAAACTAAAAAAAAAAATTTGTTATAAGTGTTTGGAAATACAGAGTCGAGTTAAGTTCAAAAGTTCGACTGTTGAAAACCAAACAAATGCTATAAGTTTAGAACTTATTAACCGAACATGTGGACTATGTTCGACACTAGATAATTGAACAATTAGAATTTGTTTAGTTGTAGATAGTCGAACATGAGTACATTGTTCGAATCGGGGTATCTGAACGAATACAAACAGTTTACCACTCAGCAAGTACATAAAAACGAAAAAAATAAAATAAAATAAAAAACTAACATTTTCCTTGCTCCATTGTTCCAAACCAATACTGCCAGATGCATCTATCGTTTAGTCCAATCAAAATATTCAATAATACATATATTTTTGGTTGTCTTTTTTACAGGTTTTGGGTTTTTGTTTCAAGATTTTTGGATTCTTGAGAAAGAAGATATGCAAATAACGTTTGAGAAGAGAGATGCGTATTGCATTCATTATTGTCTTTTATGGTAATTTTACGTAAAGTGTGTATCATAGTCCTTTGTTTTTTGTGGTCATTTTAGATTAGGTGAAGATTATAATAAAAAATAAATTAATTAATGGTGTGCCTTGAGATGAAAAATAGTGTGTAAATAGAGGCACCCTTTTAAAATTACAATATTATAATATATATTAATATACTAATTAATATACCAATTGATTCATGTAGCACACTATTTTTATTTTTTTTTAAATTGCTATAGGGCTCAAATTTTTTATCAAATAAATGATTAAATGTCTCACGTAAATATAAGGTCCACAAAATTGCGAATCTTGTAGTATGTGAGACATTTAGTTATTTATTTAATAAAAAAATTTGATATTCCTAATATTATTATTATTATTATTATTATTTTAAATTTTTTTTTTCACCTCACAATCCAAACAGAGTCTTAACGGAGTCTTAAGATTCGAAATCAACATGGTTGGGCCTTTGAAATCCCTAATTTCCCAAAGCGCTAGAAACGAGTGATATACCTATATTGAAGACAAAACGTATATATATATATATATATATGTGTGTGTGTGTGGTGTTGATTATACTCCAGAAGCTTGATTTGGATAGAGAGAATCTCCGATGGTTGCTGCACGCTATCTTCCTCCTTGGTTCAGGTTACTATTTTTTATTTTTGTAAATTTTAATTGAGGTTTGATTTTGAACTAATGAGGCTTTGGACGTGAATTGATTGTGTTGACCTTATTATATGTTCAGTGTTGCTCCAATGATGGATTGGACGGATGTTCATTATAGGACTCTTGCTCGGCTTATTTCCAAACATTCATGGCTTTATACTGAAATGCTTGCTGCTGAAACTATTGTTTATCAGAAGGGCAATTTGGTCAGTTTTTTTAGTTATTTCTTATTGTTTTGTGAAGAGGAAGTGACTATATTGTTGAGAACTCATCATCATCTGCTAGCAACACAGGGATTTTGTAATAAAGAGTTTAAAAAAACAAAGAACAATTAATACATATTAATGTGTGCTTGGGAGGAGAAAGATTGGGTACACACCTAATGGTTTAGGTTGACGTAGTGCACAAAGTGGTTGCCCTTACACTATGTTTGGGAATCTAGAAGAGAAAATAAACGAAAAGAAATGATTACTCAAGTTATAAGAGAAAAGAAAAAAAGGGAAATGATTGTGATTTCTCTCCTTGTTATTTGGATAAGTAAGAAATAAAAGAAAAGAAATAATTATGATTTCTCTCTTTGTTATTTGATTAGATTTCATAAGAAAAAAGAAAAGAAAAGAAATTATTTTATGTTATATTACCAAAATAACCTTTTTATATTTTCAATTATTTTATTTCTTTTATATTTACAAGACAAAATTAGTATTATGAAAATATTGGTTTCTTTTCTCTCCTAATCTCTCTACTTTTAGGAAGATTGAAAATGAGAGTTATAAGAGAAATGAGTTTCTCTCCGTTTCCCTCAATTTCTTCCTATTTCTCTCCACTTAAGTTATCCAATCCAAACAAGTAAGAGAAATATATATCTCTCCATTTCTTTTTTTTTTCTCTCCAAATCACTCAATCCAAACATAGCGTTAGACTTGAACCCATTAGGTCAAGGTTTTACTATTGAACCAATGGTTACCTCTTAAACAATGCCTAATTAATACACATTAATATGTGCTTGGGAGGGGAACGATTGAGTACACACATAATCTTTGGTATAGTATACAAAGTGGTTGCCCTAAGACATGAACCTATAACCTGAAGGTTATTAGGTCAAGATTTTACCATTGAACCAAAGAACTAAAATGAAAAAAAAGGAAAAAAAAAGAAGAAATCAAGCATGGAATTTTAAATTTCATAGACTATTTTCATAAAATCTAATGAATATTGAATTACTTTGCTGTAGATAAATGGTATTGTAGGTTCATGGATCCTTTTCCATTATGTGGCACTGATATGTCTTGAGAATCTCCATGAGTCATCATGACCTCACTATCTCTAGGATTCACATGTAGGATTTCACCCTGGATCTACATGTAGGATCTCACCCCACATATACATGTAGGTTCTCCCTCGATTCTCACATGTAGGATATCCAAGGTCTAACTCGATCAATCTACAAATGAGATCGGGTCATGTGAGATCCGCGCATTCCAAACTTAGCTCCACACGTGATCCATCTCTAACTTATGCTTAGTTCCAAAATAACCTAGGCCGGGTGTATGGTCTAGGATGTTCACCCAGGATTATTGGAGGACTTGTGGCTTGGAGGCTAGAGTTGAGGGATCATCAAGGTCCTTGCTTAGGGACACTTGACTGGCCTTAGTTGAGAGAGTTTCACTAAAAAATGTGATTTACCTTTACTGCAACTTGTGAGTTGCAACCATCAACTATGAAATGTTGACATTGCATGCCCTGCATTTGTACGTGTACGGGATGTCATGATGCAATAGATTCCTTAACCCTTGATGTTGTCAGGATCCGCTAACCATCTTGATATGGTTAGGACAAAAGAGCATTGACCAATCAACATATTGATATTGTTAGGGAGATTCCTTTCTATTGTCTAGCAGGGCATGCTTCAGCTTCCCCTCTAAGGATTCCTTCACCAAGCGATCATCAAGTGATCAATACACCCCCAGATAGCTCTCTCCAGCGCATAAGATTTCCACCTCCACCCTCACTCTTCTAAGAATGCCTCTGTTCTCTTCTTCTCACCTTCGGTGATCCGGTGCCAAATAAATGCCTACCATCTTCCCATATCACATTGTTCCGGCCACCCGGGACATGATTGCCCATAATTACAGACAAGGTGATTTAAATTATTTGAAAAATATTCATCTTCACCTGTAGTGTTACAAGTTTAAATCAAGAGTTTGCAGTACGGGAGAGACTGCTAGAGCATTGATAGAGCATATTAAACCAGAATTGGAAAATGCTGCTGTTTTGACAATTATACGTATTGTAAAGCAAAGATGTCTTCAATTGGTTTTCAGCACTTTGGAGAATGCATGGATAGAGATCTTAGTCAACTTGGTTGTTGGAAGGAAATTACCACCGAAATTATGTGTGGTGAGGTACCAACTAGAATGAGAATAATTAGATGGAAGCAAACAATAAGACAACAGTTGGAAGCAAGATAAAGTGCATTTGTGATCAAAATAGGCTTACGCTATGGCTTGGCTTTGAGCATGCCATGGTTTTGTATTTTAAATGTCAATACCAAAACAAGGTTCTTTGGTGTGCATTATTTGCAAATGAAATGGTGAGAAGTAGTTCAGATTCCAATCAGTTGGTGAGGGCGACCATTAGCGTGGTTACACTCCGGAAGTGGAAGGGGTGTAAGCTCTCTTTCTTAAATCCCTTCACGTTCTCTCCAATTCATTTTAAAGAGAAGCATAAGGTGTGTATTGCCAATCATTATTGGTATTAGGTTTGTTGAGCAAATTAAGAATTGGTGGAGAATGTGACATGATTTTAGGTGGCTTTCTGACACAAATTGTAATAGGTTTTGTTCACTGTGATTGGTGGCAGATTTTCTGTTTGAAATTCAGCCTTTTCTATGGAAGAGCGCATAAGCTCAAATGTATGGAAACCTCAGCATTTCTTTTGGTTGGTTATCTGTTGAAAAACTTTTCTAGGAGGTTCTCAGTTCTTTGAGAGGTTCAATCTTGTGATCTTAAAACAACTCTGTAGCTGTTAAAATACTGCTTGTATTTGGATTCAGATATTACAACAGACAGTAGGCATGTTGCAACAGTCTTGAAATATGATTTGCAGATGTATTCATTTAAACATGATTACCAATTTCTTGATTTGGAAGAGACTTCAGATTTGGACAACTGTATGATTTGTGCTCTGATATACTCATAGGTCAGCTGAATGAATTAATTTGGAGTGTTTGTTCTTTTGCAAATCAGAGAACAGAATGCGTTGGCATGTAATGACTTAAATTACACGTTATCGATGGCCATGTATATATATGCCTGTGTCTGTGTGTTCCATCTTATATATGCCTGTTTTTTAATATTTTGTTCTTTGCTTCTATTTGCAGTGGCTTCACCTCATTAGATTAGATTTTGGTGCATCTGACATATAATCAGGATAATTTGTTGGGATTGCTCAGGAACGATTCTTGGCGTATACTCCAGAACAACATCCTATCGTGCTTCAAATTGGGGGAAATAATTTGGAAAACCTGGCAAAAGCAGCTGAACTAGCAAATGCTTATCGTTATGATGAAATTAATTTTAAGTTTGTCCCATCATTTTTATCAATATCTTATATTTCTTTAATCTTTCTTTATCAGTGAACTAAGATCTTGTTCATCTGTCAGCTGTGGATGTCCTAGCCCAAAGGTAGCTGGACGGTGTTTTGGTGCACGGCTTATGCTTGATCCAAAGGTTGAATTATTATACTGATTTATGTCGGTTTGTGCAACAATTCAGGGCAGTGGGTTTATTTTTTAATTTTGTCTAATATAGTCATCTGCTTTTTACAAGGAAAGTTTGTCGCCGAGGCTATGTCAGTTATTGCAGCCAACTCAGATGCTCCAGTCAGTGTTAAGTGCCGCATTGGTGTTGACAATCATGATTCATACAATGAGCTCTGTACGTTTCTTTATCGACTTTATTTGTCAATATATTCAAGTTGAGGCAACCAATTTGAATTACTCTTTTACTGTGGATTGATTTGTACCTGGAAAGAATCCACATGGGACAGATTTGATCATAAAAAAAGATATTTACTAAGCAGACATGAACATTCATTCCTGTTTAAAGAGTGCATATTTCAACATCCAATTGCCTTGACTCCTTTCTTTGTCTTTTTATTTTAATTTTTTTTTCCTATTGCATTTTCCTTTCTGGCTAGAACTACGTAGGTCACAAACTTACAGGTCCCTTTAATTTCTGAAAGTTCTGATTTCCTTAGTATATCTTTGCTACATGGACACTTAGTTATACACCCTAGTGTTGGAGACAGCGCAACACGGAATGAGACATGTATTTGACCAATCAACTATCAGACACTTCCCTTAAGATACCTTGTAATAATACTTTTAAAGGAGAGCACATGCCAATGTATAACAAGCCACTTGCATAGAATCTTCATTTCATCCTATGGGAAGGATGGGGAGCAATTAGTCATGGTGATCATTTCACTTTGTTCATGTCCTAAGATTTAGGGTTTTAGATGAATCTGTTTCCTAGACAATATTGCTTTACATGTAATATTGCTTTATATGTTTACTTCCATTAAAAAGACCATTCAAATAAGTTGCAATATTTTTCTGCTAGTTAAGCAAAACCACTTAAGGCCAGCTTAAGAAGTCTGTAATAATTATTGCTGTTGTAATTTGTTTTTCTTATTATTATTTTATCCGATGAGGAAGGGTCATATTTGTAATTTCATTAAAAGCTCCTTTTTTTCTTTTTCTTTTTCTTTTTTTTTTCCAAATATATATATTTTTTTATGATCTTATATACATTTGTTTTTTTTTTTTTTTTGGCATTTTTTTCTTTCTTTTTGTAGGTGATTTTATTTATAAGGTTTCTTCTCAATCACCGACTAGGCATTTCATTATACATTCACGAAAGGCATTGCTCAATGGCATTAGTCCAGCTGATAATCGAAAAATCCCACCCCTGAAGTATGCGTTTACTTGGCACTTTAGTTCATTAATCATGCATGTCATTTTATCGAAGTTACAAACTATGACGTTATTTAGTTATCTAATTGACTTTAGTGGAATTGGTTCAATGCCATGATGTAAAAAAAAATAAAAAATGCTCAAGTTAATGAAAGATAAGGTTTTTCAAATCAGAAGAGATCTGCACTATTTCTATGGTGCGGTTGACAATTTCATGTATGCAGATATGAGTACTACTATGCCCTATTGCGTGACTTTCCGGACTTGACGTTTACTATAAATGGAGGCATAAATAGCATCAATGAGGTAACTGTTTTGTTCTGGCAAACTCGATATAGAATTCAGAGTATTCTTGTCGATACATCCAATATACTCAAATTGCACACATACAGATGTCAAAAAGGTCACACCTGATGCACAGTTTTTTGTTCTTGTAACTAGTAAACTTTATCCTCGTTGTGCCATTGTTTGTCCATCCGAGTTCAGTATTTGAAATTGGAATCATGTAGTCCTGAAATTTATTTAGACTCTGAATTTTTTTGTAACAGTACATTATATCACTGTAAAGTACCTCACCAATTTTGGCATTACTTTTATTATTTATGTCTTTAATATTTTTATTTGATTATTTCTGTTATAATATTTTTAATTATAGTTTGATTAGGAGTCTTTGCTTTCCAAATGATATTAGGATTTAGTTTCTCAATTTAACTGTCTTATTAGAAGTCTCTGCTTTTCAAATGATATTAGGATTTAGTTTCCTAATTTAATTAAGGTTAGTGGTCTATAAATATTAGATTTTTGGCCTTGTATTATTCAGTTTTGGATTAATAAATTTAAGTGTTAAAGCTGTGGTCCATCTGTTCTTCCTCTTTTGTCTCGTCCCTTTCTTCTGTCTCGCTTTGTTCTACATCATTCATATTTGGCATTATACTCGTATTAAACTTGCTTCTTTGTGTATAACAAAGTTTTGTTACATGTTTACTTTTATCCTCTATTTTTTCTGATATTTTTATTTAGGTGAATGCGGCTAGAAGGGAAGGTGCTCATGGCGTGATGGTTGGACGTGCCGCTTACCACAAGTATGTACAATGTGCAATTGATAGATGTCCTTTTATTTTATTTTTTAAAATTTTTTTTAATGGATTTTCACATCAAATTGTTGTTTAATTTGGTTTATGTACTCTTTTGTCTTTTTTGCAATTTTCTTTTGTGACACTGTCTTCTGAACTTACCTGGAAACCATTATCTGTTTCTGACAGCCCTTGGTACACTTTGGGACATGTTGATACCGCAGTTTATGGTGCACCTCACACTAATCTTACACGTCGTCAGGTTCTGCAGCAGACTTGGTACTTTATGCATGTATCTGCTTAATATGCATTGACCACTAAAGCCATGTTAAAAGTATTTTTTGTAGGTCCTTGAAAATTACCAAGTTTATGGGGATTCTGTTCTGGGAAAGTATGGACAAAAACCAACTGTTCGGGATGTGGTTAAGGTAGGATACAATTTTATTCTGTTTAATGAGATCTTTGGTGTAGCCACATATCTCCAAGAAACAGAACTATTTCAGTAGAAATGTGATTCCTTAAATGGTTTCAGCTGCACAAAAGCTTGTGTAATTTGTTTGAATGTGTTCATTTCTTTTGCTTTGTTATTAATGTGTGGTATACATATAAACACTTGCATGTAAATATTGCATCCTTCATCTGCACATTTATGGGAATAGGGTAGTTTCTTGGTGCTCTGCACAATTGCTATTTCTTGTGCCATTTCATAAAATGTGGCATATGTCATCACGGCCTTTCATCTGCTTGATAGCATTCCCACTTCTCTCGCCATAGACCTAAATTCAGCCCCTAAAATGCATCCTTCTATTAATTTTATTCTGCTCTCTCTCTGTCTCTGAGTTATCGATAGTGCTGATGCTTCAGTCAGTCTTCTGCTAAATTTCAAGCAATTCATGTTTTTTTTTTCACACCCCACATTAGTTATGCTTTTATTCCCCTGGCATATTGCAGCCTCTACTTGGTCTTTTCCATTCGGAGCCTGGAAATGGCTTGTGGAAGCGCAAAGCTGATGCTGCTTTACAACATTGCACGGTATGTCAATTACTAATTGCTCTTCAAAGGAGAACCCTGTTAACTTTGAAGAAGATAACTAAGGATTGGATCTAAAACATTTTGGCCTCCAAAGACTAATATTTGAAATTCATACTTTTTCTGAGTGCCTTGAGGCAATGTTTTGAAATTCAAACTGTTAAAGTGGATCAGAAAAGGACTGGGTCAACAGTCATCAGTTCAACCATTGGGTCAACTGGATCAAATTATAATATGAAAATTATGTCATAAAATATCTTTCAAATAATAAGTAAAAATTGAAATTTTGAAAATATAAAATATTTCTTAATTTTGTGCACCCATTGACATAGGTAAGTTGTATCAAATAGCTAATCACAAATCTCAATCATAAACATCACAAAGATGGCATCGAATTGCACAATAGAGACTAATGCTTCTAAGAGAAGATCAGACGATAGTGCAAAGGTTTCCGTAAGACAACCTGAGAGTGTAATTTGTTTATGAATATAGTCTTGTACAAACGCACACATCCATATGTTTAACAAAGGTGGGTAAGTGCTAGAGAGATAATAAACTAATTTGCAAAGCAGTTGCCATTGTAGAGGATTGAGTTCCTTCACCTCCAGAAATTATACTCACTCTAACATTAGAACATTAATGAAAAAACTATTCTCTTTAAAATTAACTACCCTAAAGCTAGTAAGAATTTATTCAATAATTCATGGATTTAATATCAAAATAAAAGGGATTGGAGTGAGAATCAAAGCATCACAAAAGGAAAATTTCATGTCATGTCTGACCCGTCATCAGTGATGGACTAAGTCTTTGAACATGGTTCTTTAATCTTGCAGACTTTAAAATCCTTTCTTGAGGAAACTCTCGGCGCAATTCCTGACTCTGTTTTGGATTCTACAGTTGGTGAGGCACCATCTGGTTGCATAGATACTTTTGCAAAATTAAATGGTTTGCTACCTCCTCCATATGCAGCTAGAGAACATGAACGCGAGGCTTTGTATGCCTAGTTTGAATAATGTATTCTAGTTTTATAACTGACAATGACTATCTCATTTGGGTGTGTTTAATTGTTCCAATTCTTTGGTATAATAGTCCCCATGTAACAATTCCTCCAATACTTGATGGGTTATTAGTAAGTTACGAAGAACCTTATTCTTTCATACAATTGAAGGGGTATTAAAATTCTGATATTTATCGTTGATGTTTGAACATGGGTGGGACAGGATGGTATTTTTCCTGAACTCAAATTTTATCATGACTGGGGGCTTGAAATTGTGTTTACTGTGAAGTTCAGAATATGATTTTAGCCAAGACCTTCAAATAGAAAGTAAAATGCAAAGAGAAAGATCAAAAGAAGAATGTCTAACCCTTAAAAATTTATCAATATTCTTGGTTTTCTCAATTGTGCTTTTTGACATTTTGAAAAACTAGTTATTGCTGTTTGTTAGCTACTGGTTGAGCATCTCACTTCTTGGGATTACATTCTTATATGCTGGTTGTGTTTTTCTAGTTGTCAATCAACACATGAAACTTTTGCAGGGTTAGATATGATTAAACATCAATACAGTCATTGTCTTTCTTATTATCAAACAAGAGGCTCAGGCTTGCAAATAGTCTGGCTCTTGTTTTCAACATATAAGCATGCTTTGTTGTTGTTGAATATATTGATTTTATGTCCTAATATCAATAAATTGATTCCCATTCCTTGATGTTTTTCATTGCTCCAACATTCAATTGTCCATATTATATTATTATCGTATGTTTCAAACCAGCTAATTTACAGAAACAATGGATCAAATCTGGTTTGTAGCTGGGCATGGATTCATCATATGGGTGTCCTGAGTGTTCTCCCAGAATGCCCCTTGGCTTGGATTAACAACCGAAATCCAAATGAAAAGACACTACCCTAAGCTTCTTAGACTATGTTTGGAGGTTGTATTTGTGGAGAGGAAAAGGGAATTAAAAAGTTAAAATATATATAGTTTATTCACCTTTCTTTTCTTTTCTTTTTTTTGTTTCTTTTTCTACCACAAATTCAAAATCTGAACAAAGTTTTAATGTTTGCTATTATTTAAGGAAAATTGCATGGGAAATTATTTAATAATCTCGGAATACAACGTAGTTATTTCTAAACAAATCATTAATTATTTAGTTTCATGTTGTTCTTTTATCCTCAACATAAATCGTGAGTCTTTACTCCTCTCTATCAATCAAAATTTAATAGAGTATCACGTGTTCATATTCTAAAAATACTGATTAATCATCCAAATTGCATAGACTTTCGCAAGTATTATTCACAAGAACACTCGCCAGTATTCTTGTGTAAGATTCCCCGAATTTTTTTGTGTTTCTTTTACTTTTTATTTTTTAAACAAAAGAAAGAAAAACGAAAGTTCCAGTCCTTTTGAAGTGGACTGTGCCCCTTTTCTGACCAGAAAATCAACCAGCGTTGAAGACCACAAATAATAGATAACAGAGATGACACGTGTCTGGGAATCATTGCTCAGTACATTCCTAGCGATAAGGTAATGGTTGGCCCCCCCACAAGAAATGCTATAGAGAAGGCAATAAAGCCTTTATAGCCAAAGCAAAAATAAAAAAACAATTGAAGAGATAGATATCTTCATTAGTCAGACACTGAACTAGTGAAGAAATGGCCTCAGTGAGCATGACATCCTCATTCCTCGGCGGAGCCACCACCACCCTATCGGAGAGGTCTCCGGCAACAACCATCCACCGAAGAGTTGTCATCACAAACGGTGCCAAAGCCAATAATAATATTAATGTTGGAGAGAAAGTGAAGATAAGCCAGAAAGAGAGCAACAACAATGGAGGAGGAAGGAGGGACTTGATGTTTGCGGCTGCAGCGGCCGCTGTTTGCTCCGTTGCGGGTGTTGCCATGGCGGAAGGGCTGAAAAGGGGAACCCCGGAAGCCAGGAAAATCTATGCTCCAGTTTGTGTCACCATGCCAACTGCAAGGATCTGTCACAAATGAGGACTTAGTTTTTGTTGTGATTGTGTAGTATGAAATTGGTATTATTGAGTTAAATGTGATGTTGTAATTGAACTCATGTATTTGTATTCAAGCTCTCAGAAAACTATATTATTTCTTTCTAGATCTCCACTATATATATATGGTTTTTCTTTTATAATTTTTTTTTTTTACTGTAATCTTTCTTTCTAATTTAAATGATAATTGGCATGTTCATAAATTTACCGACAATGGAGATGGTGATAAATTTTCAGTTAAAATTAAAAAAAAATCTATGACATGTTCCATAGATTTAACCTAGACTGTGACTCGGTTATTAATAGCGTTGAAAGATAATTTCTTGAGGTCTTTTAGTTGTGTCCCATCAGTTACAACACATTCGGACTTAATCACTAGTTGTATAAAGGCCCTGTTTGGTACAGCTTATTTCAGCTTTCAGCTTAATTTAAGCTATTTTGATGTGTTTGGTTTAACTTATAGCTTTGTGGAAGTCAGAAAACAGCTTATTCTTTGAGTGGGGCAGGAGATGCTTTAAGAATAAGCTGGAAATCAGCTTAAGCTGAAAGTTATAAGCTATAAGCTGTTTAAGCATAAGCTATAAGCACTTTCCCACAACTCTACCAAACAGGGCCAAAGATTTGAAGCACCGTGGGTTTAAGAATAAATTATTTTAATAATTTTTAAAATTTTTGATTAAAATATAAGATAAAAAATTAGTATGTTCGAAATGATTTTTTTGACTTTTTATAAAAAAAAAATGTAAAAATTAGAGAGAAAAGAGAATTTTTAATTTTATTTATAGATCTTTATTTTTTAACTTTTTAACGACTTTTTGACGCTTTAACTATTTTATTAACTTCCCAAACTAGTTTGAAATGCCTATTCTAACTTTGTATTCTATTTTCTTTGTTTGGTATGGTTTGTCTAAGTGAAAAATATGAACATACTTGCTCATTCTTCTAACTTAAAGAATGTCATTCAATTCAATCCAAAAATTACCTTAAAATATTATTAATTAGCTACTATCACCATTCTTTTCTATTACTATCCTTTCCTACCAAGATTACTAAATACTAAATATTGTGACCACTGGTACAACCACCACTACCATCTCCCCAAGCACCATCGTCGCCGTTACAACCACTACCATCACCACCACCATCATCGCTAGAACTACTACTCTACTACCACCGCTCCCACCACTACCATTGCCTTCGCTGTCATAACCACTACCTTACCACCACTACCATTACCACTACCTTCATTAAAACCAACGCCACATCGATCTACCACCACGGCCACCATCCTACTATTACTGCTATCACCACCACTGATGCCACTAGCGCCACAACTAGTAGCACGACTCACATTATCACTTTCACAACTATCAATACTATCATGATCTATATTAATTTTTAATTTGTTTGTTACTAGCTTAATAAAAAATAAAAACTTATTCAATTCTGTTAGTTTAATAGATATAACTAAACATAATAATGAGAATTATCATTCTATTGCTATGTCATTCCATGTTGGCAACCAAACAATTGAATATGAATGACTATTCTATTCCATTCAACATTGTATTTCATTCGATTCTTTCGTACCAAAATAGAATATCTATTTACGTCCCACCATCAACATAGGATGGCATAGATATAGAATCACAATTTTCATTCCCAGGTTTAATTATGCCTATTAATTTGATAGAATGAAATAAATTTTTTTTTAACAATCAAATTAGTGACGATAAGGTAGTGACGGTGGTAGTGGAAGGTGGGGCTATGGTGCCAGAAGGAGATGGTAGTGGTGGTTAACAAAAGGGAATCCGATAGGCATACTATTTTAGAATGATGACATGATGAAATGGAATATTTATTCCTTAATTAGATTGGTGATGTAACATTGGTGCTTTATAAGTCAATGGGATGTGTTTAATTTCATTATTATTGTTATTGAAATCCTCTAGTTGGTGGATCATCGTATTGGTTAAGTGAAATTTGATCTAGACTTGGATTCGAATGTTCATATCTTGTTGAATCTTGATTCTTTTGACTCTTTCACGCCCCGCATTTTGAATTTTGGTGCAAGAATAGAACCATTGTGTAGCTTGTTGTTAGGCTTTCAATTTACTCTTTTTTTTCTTCCCAAAAAGGAGTTTGGACGAGAGAGTTATATCCGTTTGAAAATTTACCACCTAGGTTGATTTGCGTAGTTTGCTCGAGCGGAAGTTTGAGCATTCGAGCAGTGTTTTGACCCTTCTAGTTCTGAACTTCGAGGCCTGAGATATTAGGAGCTTCCATTTTCTGCTCGAGCGTAGGATTGTTTGCTCGAGTGGTCTACTCTGTAGAAGACTGAGATGCTAAGAGCCTTCATTTTTTGCTCAAGTGCAAGATTGTTTGCTCGATCGGTCCGTTTGAATTTCATTCATCGCTCGACTGCAGGTTTGTTCGCTTAAGCAGTCTGTTCAAAATCTATGCGTAAAATTCACCTTTTTGGCTTGATTTTGAGCCCCAAACTCACTTTTTTCCCTTGTACTATAAATAAAACCTATCTCACTAATCTATGCGTAAAATTCACCTTTTTGGTTTGATTTTGAGCCCCAAACTCACTTTTTTCCCTTGTACTATGAATAAAACCTATCTCACTCTCTTTCCTCACTTTTTTCGCATACTCTCTCTCTCTCTCTCTCCTCCCCCCTTTTTTTCCTGATATATCTCTCTTTAGGTTCCTTTACTTTTTCGCACAAATCCTTCAATCTACCTCATTTCAGATTATCTCCTTGCCTTGGTCCTTTAAATTGGATTGCAGAGCGCGTTGAAAGCTACATTTTGATCGGAGCAGATCATCTTTCACCACCTTCGACTTTTGTGCTTTTCTCTTCTTGTTCTTTATTTGAGGTAGGGATGTCTATTACTCAAGTATGGTTGTATTGTCATAGTTATGTGGCATTTTGTAGTTATGAAATGTTGGAATTTATTGGGGTTTTGATATAATTATATGATATAAAAGCTAGGGTTTGCCTCTTTTGTTTAAAAACTCATAGATTGTCCTCTCAAATTGATAAATGAAGTTGGGATTTCACAAATTGGTGTTTAAATTGGAAAAGCTCTAGATTTTTAATGAAGATTTTTGATAAAACCCTAAAAAGTTAAAATTGGGCCTTTTTGTTGTATATTGAAATTTTTGTGAAATGAATAACTAGTTTAGAATTAGTGAAATTTCTTTGGAATATCCATGACTATTGAATCTTTTAGAATTATTGGGAATTATCGAGACATTGAGAATGTTTGGAAGATTTTGAAAGTATTGAAAGGTTAATTTTAGTTATGCTCTTGTATTGCCGTTTATGGAATACTTTGATAAAGATAACTATTTTGGCAATTGGTAGAGGATTGCATGATATTTGTAGAAATGAAGTGGAACCTTAGGGAAATGGAAACTGTCACGCCCTGAAAATTTTACATAATAAAGATTCACCAACTTCCATTGTTTAATGCAAACATAAGTAAGTCTCAATATTAATATCATCCCCATATCTCCAACATTTGTATTCATTAACCATCAAGAAATTTACAAAAGATAATCCACATGCGAATAGACATTCAACATCCCTATTATATGAATCTATAGCATGTGGCATAATAAGTCAAGTGTAAATAAATGCCCTCAAGGGCTACAAGCTCCAAGGCTTAAACCCGGTTACACAAAAACATTTTTTTTTTGAACTCATGTATATAAAGCCCTTGGCTTGTCAAAAATAATTGCAACAAAGAAAAAAGCCTTGTGCTCTCAAAACATATCTCCACGCCTCTAACTTGGCAGGATCACTACATCATTTTCTACACAAAATTTCATAGATGTGAGCATAAAGCCCAGTAGAAAAATCTTACCAAAGTATATACATTTTATACAACCTCATGGGATGAATGGATATTGTAGACAATCCATTTTTGACCGTCCTCAAGACTTAGACGTCATCGCTCGTGCACTCGATGATTGTGTGTTTGTGTTCATTTTGAGCGCTCGAAGTCCTCGGAGGAATGCCCTGTCTTTGAGTTTTTAAACCATGTTCTTTTTGTGCCTTGTTTTGGACCAAAACTTGGTGTCTAGACCTCTTGGTGACCTGTCGGCCACCACCCAAGGTTGTCGGCCATGGGATGATTACGTCGACCATGGGTGTGGCCTGGTCGGCCACTAGTGGTGGTCGGTCGGCTGTCAGTGGTGGCCGACGGCCACCAGTGCCTTTTTCCAAATGTTTATTGACAGCTGTGCCAGCTATTACACACTGAGCTGTATCTCCATACACGTGTATGGAGATGTTTCTAAGCTCAAGGGGTGGTTTTTCTATATATAAGGGGGTTCCTCCCCCATTTTGGAGGGTTAGAAGAATTAGAGCAAAAATATATCTCTTTCTCTCTAGAATTTTCTCTTTCTCTCTCTTGATATTTTGTACACATTTGCTCATAAGTCCTTAGCTTTTGCTTATCAACCCTTAACAAAATACTCTCACCTTTGGGCTGAGATTACTTGGAGTCTTGTGTGAGCTTTAGAAGGTGGTTTGAGCTTGAATTGTTGGCTATTTTGTGCTTTGCTTCAAAGGTATAGTACTTACCTTGTTTAAGCTTATTTTGTATCTTTGTTTTGCCACCATTTCCAACTGTTTTTGGACTGATTTTGAACTGTCAAAAACTCTATTTTTGTGACTTAAAAGTGTTGGTTTGAGGTCTCTTTGAGTTAGGAGTGGTCCACCCTTCTTGCTCCTTTGTTTGTTAAGCTTTTGTACCTTTTTTTTTTTATCACTTTCAAATCAAATTTTTTAGGCCTTTTAACCATTGAATTTCAGAGATTTTTCTGTGGCAAAAACCTTATTTTGAAATCCAAAATTGGAGGGGTTAGCCTCCTCTCCTTGTGTCTTGTTTTTAAGCCTAGTTAGCCTCACATGTTAGCTTATTATTTTAGCTTTTTGTGGCTTAAGTCCAGCATGTTTTTGCCTCTGAAATAACCTATTCTGGCTCTGTTTTAGGCTGGTTAGTTCAGTCGAGGCTTGTTTTGCATAGTTGTAGTGTTAATCTCCTTCACCAGCTTGATGTTTTAATGCTTTGATTATCCATGTTTTGAGTTAATAGCATGTTTTAGTGTTGTTTTACACTTCATTTC